TCGTCCGATGTCTAACTCTGATACCATTTGTAACGACCCAAATCCACCGCTAGCAGATATTGTCCTCTTTGGACTTTCCCTTTCGGGCTTCCCCTCAAGGCTTTAAAACGCGTCAACTAGGGGAAAGTTTGTTCCACCCCCCTTTGGTGTAACGACCTAAATGGTGGTTTGTTCTCTTCCTCAACCAATCTGAGACATCACAATCCACCCCCCTTCAGGGCCCAGAGTCCTCTCTACACTCTTTCCTTCCTCTAATCGATGTGTAACCGCCTCCAAATCCACCCCTTTTGGAGCCCAACATCCTCACTGGCACACCGCCTCGTGTCTACCCCTTGGAGAACAGTGAGAAGGCTGGCACATCGTCCGATGTCTAACTCTGATACCATTTGTAACGACCCAAATCCATCGCCAGCAGATATTGTCCTCTTTGGACTTTCCCTTTCGGGCTTCCCCTCAAGGCTTTTAAAACGCGTCAGCTAGGGAAAAGTTTCCACACACTCATATAAATGGTGGTTAGTTCTCCTCCCCAACCAATATAAGACATCACAGCACGCCTCCATTACCTTTTGGGAGGCCTACACCCCATAAAAGCTATCTAGCTCTTCCAGGGTGGTATCTCACTGATGGCTCAGATCCTCCGGAACAGTGAAGAAAGAACCCTCGTAGTTGGTGTAATAGTTTTCGATTTTGAAAGCAGTCAAAGACGTTACGTGTCGCATTTCGACAACTCGAAGGTACGAAAAGCATAGAAGTGGGCAATGAATTTGATCCACAAATGCAAGCATAGCACTACTAGAACATTAATGGAGGAGGTTTCTTTATGTGGACAAACTCAGTTTGTGATCTCTAAGCTTCCAAAAGAGTCCTGTCTGCTAGGGCAGAGTTGCCTGCCTTTCAAAAAGCCTCACTCATATATATCCCACTTCATCACTTTGATAGCTCCATCTTCTTCATAACTCTGCTCCCTTTGTCAACCATCCCATATTCATATCAACTTATAATACCACAGCCCCCACGTTCGGTGAGCCACCTTATGCTAGTTGCACCCGAAAAATTTGACTCAACCGTTCTGATTAAGCTGTTTTCATTAAATTCAAAGATGACAACCGATTTAGTTTGATAATAATGTTTCGAGATTCGAATGTAATTACTATTAACCTACTTCACGAAGCAGGCTTCAAGAAATTATGAGCTTTTGTTATCGATACCGAATGTTAAGTGCGTACACAAGTTGAGTCAGAGAAATCTTTCCGACCCACTTGAAATTTCCAAAGTTCACAACCCAACTCTCTATTTTCGAGTCATCTCAGTTATTAAATGACTGTACACAAGTTGAGTCAGAGAAATCTTTCCGACCCACTTGAAATTTCCAAAGTTCACAACCCAACCCTCTATTTTCGAGTCATCTCAGTTATTAAATGACTGTACACAAGTTGAGTCAGAGAAATCTTTCCGACCCACTTGAAATTTCCAAAGTTCACAACCCAACCCTCTATTTTCGAGTCATCTCAGTTATTAAATGACTGTACACAAGTTGAGTCAGAGAAATCTTTCCGACCCACTTGAAATTTCCAAAGTTCATAACCCAACCCTCTATTTTCGAGCCATTTCAGTTATTAAATGACTGTAATCGAAAGATAAATTTATAGGTATGAGCTTACTACCTTATGGATTACTCACAGCATTTTTTTCTGACCCTTTTTTAGGGCTTGCTACTAAACGAAAATGACTTATAGTATAACGCTCTTATTCATCAGACAAGAGCAATCTCGCGTGTCTTGGGTTTGATCCGATCAACCAGTCATAAGTCATGACACATCATTAATATCACTATTAAATGTCAAATATTCTTAATTTTCGTAATAATCTTAAAAATACAGTATGGTTCGGTTAAGTTGTAACTCTATTTTTGAATTCGTTGGGTTGGACGATTCAAATGTCAACCTGCAAATCGACCCAAATTAGAAAAATTGGGTTAGACAATGATTCTCGAGTTTTTTGAACACTCCGACTCTACTCCGACCAAATTTTCAAACTTTGATTGATATCGACATCCAACCTAGCGAGAGTTTTGAGAAGTGGAGAAGAGAGTGGTAGAAGCTTAGATTTGTGTATGAAAGAATAGACATGAACCTAATGGCACATGCTACAATGAAAGAGACGATGAACGGTCGTGTAGTCATTCATTCAACTTCCAATCCCACTAATTCCAACTCTCAAAAAGCCAAGCCGCAAATTCTACAACATCTCATAACTTGTTCTTTTCTTATTGGCAACCCCCAAAAGCTGCACCAAATTGCCCTTTCCCCACTATAATACGACCCCCGTTAGGATCTTAAGTGAGTCTTCAAGGAGGGTAGATATTGGGCACTGTGCCAGCAAAGAAGCTAAGCCCAAGAACAATTGTTAGATCCCACGAGTTCCAGCAAAAACGTTGTGCCTCGAAGGGTGTGAATTATGAGACCCCATTTATGGGGCTGTGGAAATTTCTAGGTGTAGATTATGTGACCCCATTTCTCCCGTGTTATTTCTTATGAGACCCCATTTAGACCCCATTTAGACCCCATTTCCTAGGTGTGGGTTATGAGACCCCATTTTTGAGGGTGTGGATTATGAGACACGGGTGGATTATGAGACCCCACTTTCAGTTAGAGAGAGAAACAACAGTTAGTCAGAAAGCTGTGTCCACAAGAGAGTGGATTATGAGATTTCACGTCAGTTGGATGGAATAATGACAATATCTATCAGCTAATTATTAATATATTAATTAAAGCTCAAATTTATGAGACGTGTTTTAAATTAATTTACTTTAAATAGGTTTACTCAATTAAGAAAAGTTGGACAAAGTCGGCAAACTTATTTTCTAAACACTTATCTTGAATTTGAATATTTTTCCGTTCAAATTGTCTATATATGAAATAAATGGATATTTTTGTAATTTTATACCGAAAATATTAAATTACATTAAACAAAAAATAAAATATTATCGTACTATGAGTTTGTGATTATATTTATAATTATTTCACAATCGAGAAATTACAAAACAAAAAACAAGAGAGTTATGCTTTTTATATAAAATATAAAATATTACTACCTCTATTAATTATTTTATAAATAAATAATTAACTCATAAATAAAATAATATATTTATAATGACACGTCAAATATTAATTAGAAAAAAAAATGTAATACAATTCTATTATAAGTTTTGTTCTCAAATTTAATATTGTATGAATCTTGATTTTATTAAAAGTAGTAATATTTTTTTTTTAGATTTTTACCACTTTTTGTTAAATTACAAATTTGCTCATAAAATTTCAATTTTGTAATAAATGACGTATTTAAAACATTTTAAAATTAATTAATCTATTAAATATAGAATTTAATTTGAAATATATACAAATATTAAAATTTATAGTTTTTTTTATTATTGGAGTATTTGAGGGTAATGTTACCCATGGTAAAAAGTAGATTTATTGACAAGAAAATTACAGTAAAAATTTAGCCGTAAATAGGAAGTGGGCCCCACAGGCACAAATTCCTACGTCTGCCCACGTTACCCTTACCACTGTCATTTGCAGCTGCATCACTGAAAAAATAAATTTCGGTGACGTAAACGTCGGAAAATGATAAAAAAAAAAAAATTATATTTTTATTTTTCTTAATAATACCATTAAAATTCTTCCACTGCTTCACATGAAATAATAATTAAAAAAAAAAACATATTTTATGCATTTTCTTTAAATTATTTTTTAAAACTAATATCCATAAATAAATATATTTGCATGGGAATCAGCTATCTTTGTTATTTAGTTATACTTAAAAATTAAGCAACTATTTTCTTTTTGTAATTAAAAATAAATAAAATAATAAATTCAACTAACACAAAGTACAAAATATTTATATGTCTGATTGTTGGGATATAATATTCCAATCTTACGCTCTCTTCTCAAATACAAGTTGAGTGTTATTGACCTACACTCTCTATTTTTACTATTGGGAAGACAAAAATGTTACTGACCTATACTAGTAAAGACAACTTAGATGTTATTGACCTACACTCGTAAAGACAAGTTGGATGTGATTAACATACACTCTCCAACTTGAGGGAGAGTGTTGAGATATAATATTTTGAGTATATATTACTTATGGAATATATCTTAGATATTATATCTTAATATTCTTGGTTTATGATTTGATTTAGAGTATATTTTATTTTTTTCTCCATATTTAGTTAGTTTATATATTTTTTATTGGTAGGTATTACTTGCTAGCTTGTATCCTATATGAATATTAGACAACGCACATTCGATTCCAATTCTATTTCTATTCTCATTTTTAACACTGATTTAATATATCATTGATATACTTGATTATAAATACCTGTTGTGTTTAAATTATACTATTTACTTGAAATAACACCGTCTTTAAAATTTGATATGAATGATGATATATAGATTGAGATTATTTTTAACTTTTAATTTTAAATTAAAACTTTGGGTAAACTATCTAAAATTTAAAATATATATATGAAAAAATGGTCCTTCTTGAATTAAAGGATAAAAAGACATTGAGTAATTTGGAGAATGATTATGAGTTTATAATTAAGGAATACACTCTTTATTGATATAAGGGTTGAGAATGGTACTGGTGAAATTTTAGAAAAATAAAAATAAAGAAAATTATTAAAAATTTCCAACTATTCATTTATTTATTTTATTTTTCAAATTCATTAAAAATAAAAACTGTAAATATTGAAAATAAAATATTAATATTTATTTGCATAATACATCCAAGTGTTCCGAATCCACATTGATTGCAGAACGAGTTTTGAGACAGAAGTAGCCGCATCTCGCTCGAGAAGCAAATGGATAAGATTAAAACTAATTACCCCACCGGATTAATTTTCTTTTTTACCTTCGATTTTAATTGTAATGTTCAACAGTAAAACCCTGCGGTTATTACCCCCTTGTTCTCACTCTATATAAACTCCTCCCCCTCCGCTTCTTCTTCTCTACGCTGCCGTTCTCACTCCGGCGTTTCTCATCTTCCATTGTTGTTCCAAACTAAGTTCTTCTGCACCTGCGTTTCTCTTCGTCTTCCTTGAAATGGATATTCCGCACTTCTTGTTCGGAGTTCTTGGTAGATTCTGTTACCTTTTCTTTTCCGCTGAAATAGTTTTTGATCTCTCTTTGTTCACTGTAAGTTTCCGTTTCTTTGTTTCTCTTCTTCCAGGAAATGCGACTGCTCTGTTTCTGTTCTTGTCGCCAATGTAAGAACCGGAAATGATCTCCGTTGTTATTTTTTTTTTCTTGAATGTTCTTGGAGGTGATTTTAATTTCTTCTTCAAATTTCTTATTTCTTATTTCTTAGCCTTGTTGATTTGTTAGGATTACTTTCAAGAGAATCATAAGGAGTAAATCGACGGAGCAATTCTCTGGCATTCCATACGTTATGACGATGCTGAATTGCCTTCTTTCCGCTTGGTACTCTTTTCAAGTTTGGAATTAATTGCTCTTTCTCTATGTGTGTGTTGAAATGAATTCTGATTTTGAATTTCTGGGGGGAAAATAAAGGTACGGTCTACCATTTGTGTCCCCACACAACTTATTGGTATCAACGATCAACGGGACAGGAGCGGTGATTGAGATCGTTTACGTGTTGGTGTTCTTAATCTACGCGCCGAAGAAGGAAAAGGGAAAAATCGGAGCGCTGTTTGCATTTGCGCTTGGCGCTTTCACGGCCGTCGCGTTGGTGTCGGTTTTTGCGTTGCACGGCAAAAACAGAAAGTTGTTCTGTGGCTTGGCTGCTTCGGTTTTCTCCATCATCATGTACGGCTCGCCACTCTCCATAATGGTAACTCATTTGTTTTGCTTCTCGATCTTCAACCTACTCATTTTTATGGCGGATAAACACAAATCTACATCAAAATTGCAATTCAAATTCAAATTATTGACGATATTCTGATGGATGAGGGTGGTTGAAAATTTGTTAGCATGAGGGGAAGTATTTGAGCATTTTTGTTATGAATACCACGAAATTCTCACATTTCAGCATCTGAACTAGTTTTTTTCACTCACGTTTTTACCAATTTTGGCAGAGAATTAGTCTGAACATATCTTTGACTATGAACTTTAACATAAAAAGCTGTAAGTAAAGAAATTAGAACTTGTGTACAGAGAACAGTGATTAAGACGAAGAGCGTAGAGTTCATGCCATTTTTCCTGTCGCTGTTCGTGTTCTTGTGTGGGACATCTTGGTTCGTATACGGCCTTCTTGGCCGCGACCCATTTGTAGCTGTAAGTACTGTTTTCGTCAACTAGACTAGACTAGAGTAGGCTGTTGGTGCGAGAAATTAGAGGAAGTTTGGCATTTAATTGTGCAGGTGCCAAATGGGTTCGGGTGTGGCTTGGGCGCATTGCAGCTGATTCTCTACTTCATCTACCGAGATCGCCAGCCCGATGAGAAGCCCACGAACATGGAGATGGGCCTGCACAAGGCCCCACTGGAGAAGCCGCAGGCCACCGCCAAAGTGGACCGTGATGATCAAGCCTAGTCTAGACAGTGTCCTCGCCGCCGGTGTAAATTGTGGGGGACGCCCGGAGGGGGTGCTCTCGGCTTTCTTCTTCTCGACTTTAAGTTGTACTGCGTTTTTTTTTTTTTTTTTTTTTTTTTTTTTTTT